GAATTATGGAAATGTTGTACATCTGGCACTGACCTTGGCTTTGGAAGCAAATAAAGACTTGGGGAAGAGATGGAAGGGGAGGTGAGAGGACATGAGCCGTGGGCCTTCTCTCTCATTTAAACATTTGTAACCATCATCTGTCTCTATCCAGGGTGAGCGTTCCCAGAAGGGCACAGATCGAATCCACTTGGTATCACCATTGGAGTGAATCAGGGAGAGAATTTCAATCATCCAGTTGGTTCCTAGAAGGAAGAAAATTTGACGGTCACTCACTTCATCTGGCTTCTGAAGAAAACTTACGATAAAATACATAACATGCACTTTACCATCTGCCCATTTCAAGCATGCCATGGGGTGGTGCTGAGCAGAGTTCAGCATGCTCCTGCTGTTGCTCAGCCAATGTCCAGAAGCTTTTTGTCTTGAAAAACTGAAACTCTCTGCTCCTTAACATCATTTCCCTACTAATTCCATCTTTGAGGTCCTGAAACCCACCTTGGGGCTCTGTTTCTGTGAACTTGACTACTCTTTGCCCCATGGATTCCTATACTATTTGTCCTTTTGTGCCCATCAGACTGCACTTAGCATGAGGCCCAGTATTGACCTATATTGTAAGAGGAGTCAGCCTGTCATCCTGGTTAATGCTGAATCATAACCCATTGTATCAACTTGCCACACTTTGTTTACATATTAAACTACCAGTGAATTTTTGGATGCTTCCAACCCTTGGCTCTTGGCTGAGATCCTTCTAATATGTTCCAACTTCCCTTGACTTTCCAACCTTGTGTCCCTTTGATGGTCATTGGCCCCAATCCTCGCCCACTTTGCAGTACTCCAGCCCCAGCCCCTCTCCTGTAGGTGCATTACACATGTCCTTTCAGTCCCTTGAATTTTTCAGGATATTTCTGATTCCCAGGCTCTTTCCATGCTGATCCTCCTGCTCTACAGTACCCCTCCACCACATGACCTCCATTCAGACTTTTCATTCTTGTTGAGCTGGTATTTCACCAGTAGATCTTTACAGGCCACCCTCTTCCGCCCCCTTCTCCTGTGCCACTACACAAATACCCAAATCTGCTTACAATTCACTCCTCTATCTCCCTCTCATACCTCAGATGACCACTGCTGAGCACTTAGTCACTCTGTCCTAGTCTTGATGCAAGTGGCCTGGGGCACTGCCCCTTCTTCCCCAAAGCAGAGCTCACTGGCATGGAGAGGGCAGGCCATCCATCTGCTGAGTAAGAGAGGAACACAGCCACTGCCTTTCCCATGATGGTCCCTGTCCTGTGTCCTTACCTGATTTGGGGTAGGTCACCAATACTGTGTCTTCATCCTTTATCACAAACTGAGCACATGCTTCTTTCAAAACTTCATAGCTGTAACCAACCACAGGAAAATGTATCCCTTCAAACCACAAGTAGCCATCTGTCATGGTGATGAGCTCTCTGTGCGAGGTGCAGGGGTTCCTGCAGTGGCCACCAGTGGATGTTGGGGGAGACACTGGGAGACTGGACTTTGAAGTAAAGTCAAAAGAATCATTAACTTTTCTGGTTGTCAAATTAACTGAGTGGTAAAATGAAATTGTGACTGGTGATCAAAGTTTCTTTGCATTGAACAATTTTGGACTCATTCAGGGAAGGACAGGATCAAGATCTGAGCATGAGTTCATGGCCAAGACCATATAGAAATTGCTGCAAAATAAGACCACTGATGAATCCATGGGACCTGAAGAAAGCCATTTTTTTTGTTTATTTGTATTTTGAAGAGATTTCCAAAGAGAAATTTTACATGAAATCAATAGATACAGTGTAAAAATAATAGCTGAAAGGACTTTTTGGATTGTGGCCTAAAGAATCAAAAGGACAAGAACCTGCTCAGAGTCACCAGACAGAGCGGTGGAGTATCACTCGACTCCAGGGTCCACTCCTCCCTTTCTTCTGATTAACATGTCAGAGTGGGCTGCATGGTGTCAGGATTTAGGGACTGAGATGAGAGAATCTTCATATATACCACATCAAAGATCCATTGAAGCTCTGTTTCTTACTTGGTCGAGAACTGTCCGTGCCCAGGGGACTCAGGGACCAACAGCTCCACATGTTCAAGCAACACGCCCATCCAGGGGGCCCATACACTCTACACACATTGACAGCTTGATTCATGTATCATTGATAAACGCTGCTCAAACTAGGTAATGAAATAGAGAGGGGGATCTTTCCTGAATTCATTTTATGAAACCAGTCGCATACTGATACTCAACTGGGAAACACAGATCAAATAAGAAAACTGTAGACCAATATATCTGCTGAACACAGATACAGAACAGCTTATTAAAATTTAAGTAAATCTGTTCAGCATTAAGATTATACTCAGGACCTGATGTGTTCACACTTTAATACTGTACATCACGAGATGTTGATTTCAATCCAAGGATGTAAGATTGGGTAACATAAGGAAATCCATAAATGTTCACCTAATCAATAGAGTTTACCTTGACAGAGGAACTTGGCTGAACATCATGAGGGCTATGTGTGACAAATCCCAAGCCAACATAATGCTAATCGAGGAAAATCTAGAAGCATCTCTCCTAACATCAGGAACAAGACAAGGATGTCCACTTTCACCACTGCCTTTCAATAGAGCTCTAGAGACTCGAGCCAGAGGTATTGGCAGAGAAGGGAATCAAAACCTCACCAGTGGGAAAGAAAGAAGCCGTGTTATCACTGTTTGCAGGTGATAGGAGGCTCTGCTGTGAACACCCAAGAATCTTTCCCCAAAATCTCCTAGAACTGATCAATTGAAGAAAATAGCAACATACAAAATCAACATGCAAAAAACAAGCACTTTTCTTCATCACAACAATGAATCTGCTGAGGGAGAATTCATGAATACAATTTCTTTCACAAAGATTTCTACAAATCTCCAGGTAGAGGAATATGATGGTCCAAACCTGTAGCTCAGATACTCAGGAGGCTGAAGCAGGCGGTTTGAGAGTTCAAAGCCAGCCTCAGCAACTTAGGGAGGCCCTCTCTATAGATAAAGTATGAAAAGGGGCTTGAGATGTGGCTAAGTCGTAGAGCACTTGACTAGCAACTGCAGAGCCATGGGTCTAATCCCCAATGCCAAAGAATAATAATAATAATAATAATAATAATAATAATAATAATAATACTGGAGCTATCATGTTTTAAAATCGAACCAGTCTCAAATTATACTGAAGAGGTATAGTAACAAAAAAGTGTGCTAATATCAAAACATTCACTGAGATCAGTGGATTAGAAGAGAAGACTCAGAGACAGATCCACACAGATGCAGTCAAATGATCCTCAAGAAAGGCAACAAAAGCAAATGTTTGAGAAAACAAAATCGATTTAATAAATTGTGCTTGGAAAACAGAATAAATATGGTTTGAAGAATGAAGGTAAATCTAAAAAAAATTCACTCCAAGTGGCTCAAAAATAAAAAAAAGAATTAGACCATAAACACTGTAACTACTAGTGGAAATCGTAGTGCCTATCCTCTGACCTGTAGGTGCAAGCATTACTTCTGTAAGACTCCTAGTGTTCAGGAAAAAAACCCCAAGAGGTGATAAATGGAGAGGCTCAAGTTGAAAAGCTTCCCCAATGCAGGACCAATGTGTTTCTGCAACCTGTATACTCAGAAAAATGAGAAGCCATATCCCATCTGATTTAAATGTATGACATATCAGGTATTGTGCTGTCATGTGTAAATAATTTTTTTAAAAAAGTTTCCACACAGCAAAGGAGACAAGACAGAGAGAGAGAGGGCTCACAAAAGGGAGCAAATCCATTTCCAGCTAATTTTCTGAGAAAAGATTTACATCCAGAACTTAAAAAAACTCAAATTAAGTTTATTATTATTATTTCTTTCTTCTAATTAGTTATACATACAGCAGAATGCATTTTGATTCATTGTACACAAATGGAGCCCAACTTTTCATTTCCCTGGTTTGCATGATGTGGAGTCCCACCATATCTGCACAAACACATAGACTTAGAGTAATGATGTCCACCATCATTCCACCATCTTTCCTGCCCCTATGTCTCCTCACCTGCATTGCCCTATCAAAGTTCCTCTCTTCTTCCCTTGACCACCGCCCTTGCCCCTTTTTGTTCAGCATCTACTTACCAGAGAGAACCATTGGACTTTGCTTTTTAGGATTGGCTTACTTTGCATAGCATGATATTCTAAACCTCCATTCATTTACCTGCAAATGCTGTAATTTTATTCTCTCTTAATGCTGAGTAATATTCCATTGTGTATAAGTACCAAGGCTTCTTTATCCATTCATCTATTGAAGGACATCTAGGTTGCTTCCATGTTTAGGTGTTGTGAATTGAGCTTGTATGAATACTGATGTGGCTGTGTCACTATTGTCTGCTGATTTTAAGTCCTTTGGGTAAAGACCAAGAAGTGGGATAGCTGGGTCAAATGTGGTTCCATTCCAAGTCTTATAAGAATTCTCTATACTGCTTTCCAGAGTGGTTGCACCAATTTGCACTGCCACCAGCAATGTAGGAGTGTGCCTTTTCCCCTTAACATCCTTACCTCACTTCTTGTTGATTGTATTTTTGAAAATTGCCATTATGACTAGAATGAAATGAAATCTTAGAGAAAATTTAGTTTGCATTTCTCTGTTACTGGAGATGTTGAACATTTTTTTCATGTATGTGTTGATTGAATGTATATCTTCTACTGACAAGTACTTGTTCGGTTTCTTAGCCCATATATTGATTGGGATAAGACCAAAAATATTAACACTAAAAACCAAATAACCAAATCAACAGATGGGAAATCACAATCCGTTCTCAAAAGAAGAAATACAATGGCCAACATTATTATGAAAAAATATTTCAACATCTTTAACAACCAGCGAAAAACAAATAGAAACAACACAGAGATCATGTCTCACTCCAGTTACAATGGCAATCATCAAGAACACAAAGAGGAATAACCACTGGCAGGGACTGAGTTAAAAGGAGCACTTACACACTATTGGGATTGGAGACTAGTACAACACCATGGAAATCAGTCTGAAGTTTCCTCAAAAGACTAGAAATGGAGCCAGCATGTACCCTAATCATAGAGCTCCTTGGGATTCATCAAAACAAAGCCAGCATACTATAGAAACACATGCACCCCAGGTGGATAGCAGTTCAACTCCCAGCAGCTGAGCTCTGGGACCAACCTTGGTGTCCACTGATGAATGGATACAGAGAATGTGGTTCATACACAATGGATTTTACTCAGTCATAAAGAAGGACTAAATTATGTCATTTACAGGAAAATGGATGGAACTGGAGACCAGCATGCTGATTGAAACAAGCCAGACTCACAGAGTCAAGGGTTGTCTGCTTTCTCTCATATGTGGAAAGTGCGCAGAAGAAGAATAAAATAGGTAAACCACAAAATAAGAAAAAGACCAGCAGAGTAGAGGACACAGACCTATATGTGAAAAACACTCACCGTTTCCTTGGATGAACCACTGAAAATACTGTTCCAGTGACTCTGGTTTCTTACATAGTTTTGCCATAGTCCAGTGATAATAACCTGACACAAGAACATCTTTGGGATTTCTCATGATATATGTCACCTTAAATTAGGGACAATGAGAAAATGAAAAATCAGTCTCAGTCACTCATTTCCCCACCTTGATCTTGATCTTTCCCTGGGCAGTTCTTCCTTAATCTTTATTAAACTTGTTGAGTTCCATTAATAAATTAGTTATACCGTTCATTCACCAAATATATAAATTATTATTATTATTATTATTATTATTATTATTTACATATAACAGCAGACTGCATTACAATTCTTCATTTGTTAGATCTTGGATATCCATGATCTGTACTGATCACCCATCAGCCATGGGGAGGCTGGAGAGGCTGCTGATCACAGAGCACAGTGACGTGAAGAGGGCTGGCGTCATTACCTAGCTAGCCACGACTCCTAGCAGTCCCCTGGATGTGAGCATTCATCAGTGTATGCAGGTCTGCTCCCCACATACAGGCAACACTGACTTGGGTGCTTCCTTGTACCCAGCAGGAGGCTGTGATTGAGTGAGTATTGACGGACATCTGTAAGAGCTGTATGCTGGGACACTCTAGTGTAGATGCAGTTTTAATTCTGCTTACACATGGAATGTGGTTTTCTAAGATTCTGACTTTAGCCAGTCATATTACCCCTGAATTCAGCTGAGGCTAATCTGCAGAATGGTCCACATCCTTGCATGCAAGTGTGGTCTGGTTGCGGCCACATGAACCTAAATAATATCTGGGAATGGCAGTGTCACCAATCTACCCAGTGAGCACTCACCACAGCAAGATCTACAAGGGTTATCTAGGCACATGGAAGGGGAAAGCTTGGGCTAAACATTAGACACTAACCTTGGCCTTGGAAGTGAATAAAGACTTGGGGAAGAGATGGAAGGGGAGGTGAGAGGACATGAGCCACGGGCCTTCTCTCTCATTTAAAAGTTTGTAACCATCATCTGTCTCTGTCCAGGGTGAGCGATCCCAGATGGCCACAGATCGAATCCACTTGGTATCACCATGGGAGTGAATCAGGCAGAGAATTTCAACCAACCAGTGGGTTCCTAGAGAAGGGAGGAAAAGTGACAGTCGCTCACTTCAACCTGGCTTGTGAACAAAAATTATGATAAAATACATAACATGCACTTTACCATCTGCCCATTTTAAGCATGCCATGGGGTGGTGCTGAGCAGTGTTCAACATGTTCCTGCTGTAGCTCAGCCGATGTCCAGAAGCTTTTGTCTTAAAAATCTGAAACTCTCTGCTGCTTAACATCATTTCCCTACTAATTCCATCTTTCAGGCCCTGGAACCCACCCCGGGGCTCTCTGTTTCTCTGAACTTGACTACACTTTGCCCCATGGATTCCTATACTATTTGTCATTTTGTGCCCATCAGACTGCACTTAGCATGAGGCCCAGTATTGACCTATATTGTAGAAGGAGTCAGCCTGTCGTCCTGGTTAAGGCTGAATCATACTCCATTGGATCAACTCACCACATTTTGTTTAGGCGTTAAACTACCAGTGGATTTTTGGTAGCTTCCAGCCTTTGGCTCTTGGCTGAGATCCTTCTAATATGTCCCAACTTCCCTTGACTTTCCAACCTCCTGTCTCTTCAAAGGTCATTGGCCCCAATCCTCGCCAACTTAGCAGTGCTCCTGCCCCCAGCCCCTCTCCTGTAGGTGCATGACACCTGTCCTTTCAGTCCCTTGAATTTTCCAGGCTCTTTCTGATTCCGAGGCTCTGTCCATGCTGACCCTCCTGAACTACAGAACCTCTACACCTTATGATCTCCATTCCAACTTTTCATTCCTATTGAGCTGGTATTTCAGCAGTAGGTCTTCACAGGTCACCCTTTTCCACCCCTTCTCCCATGCTACCAAACAAATGCCCGAATCTGCTTATGATTCATTCCTATATCTCACTCTCAAACCTCAGATGACCCCTGCTGAGCACTTATGTCATTCTGTCCTAGTCTGGATGCAAGTGGCCTCGGGCACTGCCCCTTCTTCCCCAAAGCAGGGGTCTCTGGCATGGAGAGGTCAGGCCCTCCATCTGCTGAGTAAGAGAGGAACGCAGCCACCGCCTTTCCCATGATGGTCCCTGTCCTGTTTCCTTACCTGATTTGGGGTAGGTCACCAATACTATGTCTTCATCCTTTATCACAAACTGAGCACATGCTTCTTTCAAAACTTCATAGCTGTAACCAACCACAGGGAAACCTATCCCTTCAAACCACAAGTAGCCATCTGTCATGGTGATGAGCTCTCTGTGCGAGGTGCAGGGGTTCCTGCTGCAGCCACCATTGGATGTTGGAGGAGGTACTGGGAGGCTGGACTTTGAAGTAAAGTCAAAAGAATCATTAACTTTTCTGGTTGTCAAATTAACTGGGTGATTAAACAAAATAGTGACTGGTGATCAAAGTTTCTTTGCATTGAGCAATTTTGGACTCATTCTGGGAACCACACGATCAGAATCTGAGCATGAGTTCATGGAAGGGTCCCCATAGCAAGTGCTGCAAAATAACCCACTGAGGAATGTGTGGGGCCTGAAGAAAGCCTTTTTTGTTGTTTATATGTATTTGGAAGAGTTTTCAAAATACAAATTTTACATGAAATCAATAGATACAGTGAAATAATAATAGCCTGGAAGGACTTTGTGGATCTGTGGATGGAAGACTCCTGACTTTAAAGGACAAGAACCTGCTTCAGAGTCAGCAGACAGAGGGGTGGACTGTCACTGACTCCAGGGTCCAGTCCTCCCTTTCCTCTGAATAACATGTGGGAGTGGGTTGCATGGTGTCAGGATTTAGGGACTGGAATGAGAGAATCTTCATATCTACCACATCAAAGATCTATGGAAGCTCTGTGTCATCCTTGGTGGAGCACTCTCAGTGCCCAGGGGACTTGGGGACCAACAGCTCCACATGTTCCAGCAACATGCCCATCCAGGGGGCCCATAAATAGCCACCTACTGATTCCAGGAATGCTGAAAGATGCACCTACATTTTTGTCAGTTCCTATGGGCTTCTTTCAGCCACAAGGAAAACCAGCTGATCAATGACATAAACCCCACATTGAAGGCAACAGGGTTTCATGTAGATGTTGATGATCAAGAACAAAAACACTTTCCAATTTTCCTGATATTTTTGGGAGAATCAATAGACTGAGCACTTGTGTGTTGAACTAGGAGCTGTGGACCCTGAATCTAGATCTATGTGGCCACAGACTGCTGTGTGCGTCCTGGGGAGAATGACCAACTGTCAAGGGCATGAGTATTCGTCAGGCTGAAGGCAGAGAAAAGTGAATCAGGCAAAGTTGTAGGAGCACATGTGCTCTGGACAGACAGAACACTGTGCACATCAAGACCAAAGAGCTACCTTTTATAAAAGGGGAAACTGTTTCCTGAATTTTATTTCATTACTAGTATTGCCAAGTAATTCTAGAGAGTTATGGCAATCACGTGACCCTGTGAGTGCTCACTAGTTATGGAGTGGTGACATGTGTCTAAAGCACTGTGACCCTCTTGAGTCAAATTTATGAAAGATGATATGTCATGAGCTTTGTAATGTTTTGAACAACCAATAAAAAAAGAACTTTAAAAAAAAATAAAGCAGTGTGCACACTTAATACGTGTCGCCAGTTGCACCTTCCCAGCAATCCCATGAGTTGAATGAGGAAGTGTGGGCACCACTCAGGCGACAGAGTAAAATGGTGAGCTTTCTGATGGTTTAGTGGTGCACCGTGGTGACACGTAATAGTTGGCTTCATTTTGACACAATCATACATGCATGGGATGTCATGTGCTCCACTTCCGTCCCTAGTGGCTGTGATGTTCCTCCCCCACTCTTCCCTCCTCTATCTGCTAGTATTTATGGACTTATGCTTTATAGAGATGCATTAAGATGGGGCCCACTGTGCTGTATTTATAATGCACACTTCATGATTTTTTTCATTCCATTCTCCATTTTCTCACCTCCAGTCCCTCCTACCCCCTCAGTGTTTTTCATCGTCTCTACTAATATTCCCTCTATCTTGATTATACCAGAGCACCTCCACACACACTTCTTGCCTTCACATTTTTCTTGGTTCTTCATATGAGCAAAATCTTCTCACCTTTCACTTTCTGAGTTGGCTTATTTCACTCAGCATGACATTCTCCAGTTCTACCTATTTTTTGGAAATGCCATAATTTCATGTTTTGTTATGACTTAGTAATACTCCTCTTTGTTTGTACACCACATTTCCTTAATCCGTTCTCCTTTTGATGGGTACCTGGTTCTTGTGAGTTCTGCTGGTGTATACGTTGGTGTGGCTGCATCACCACAGTATTCTGACTTTAGAGATGGATAAATGCCAAGGAGTGGGATTGCTGGCTCACATGGGGTTCCATTCCTAGTCTTTAGAGGAATCTCCATAGTTCTTTCCTAAGAAGATGTATCCATCTACAATTGTGAGTGTGGCCTTTCCCCACGTCTTCCTTAGCATTTATTATTGGTGTTCATGAAGATTGTCTTTCAGGGCAGAGTGAGATGAAATCTCAATGTCGTTTTGGTTTCCATTTCTGTGATTGTTAAGGATGCTGAACATTTTATTTATATATCTGTTGTCCATTTATATTTGCTCTTCTCAGAAGTGTCCTTTCAGTTCTTTTGGTAAAATGGTTATTTTATTGGAATGAGTCCCTGTGTCAGGATTTTGTGACACATATTGTTCCTGTGAAGCACCCTCTGCCTCCAATTGTCACCAGGTGTGACACAGTCATGCTCTCTGCTGGATCCCACAGTGTCACCCAAGTCCATTCTCAGATCTGAACTTCAGTCCATGCCCTGTCCTGGACCAATGCTATGTCTGAGGGACAGCAGAGTCCAGCACCCACTGGCCTACTGTGATCTCTGTGCGGCAGTACCCTTGTTGCTGGTGATAACCAAGTTCCTGTTCTATAAATGGAGAACACTGGGTGACCCCTGAGTCAGTGCTGCACTGGCCACAGTTATCCCAGTGCCCTCGAGTGCCTGCTGTGTACTGTCTGCAGTTATCCCTGGTGGCACAGGAGGCTCTGACTGTATAGCTACAATCTGTCCTTCCTGTCTAGTCCCTCTGCTGGGACTCTCCAAACATGTCACCCAGGAGTTTCCACAATGTAGTGCTACAAACCACCATGAAATGACTGTTAGCATTCCAAAGAGGAATCCTTCAGCACCAGCTTGATCAATAGCAGCATTTATTTGGGAACTCAAGTGTGGGCTGAAGAGTCCCTTGAGTGACAGATAGAGCAAAATATTCCATTCAGACTGGTGAGCGGTGGTGCCCCTTCTCTGGGAACACACTTGGGGCAGTAGACCACGGTTGTGAGCCTGCAGACTCCCCAGGGTTGGTTCTGCTCTCTGTCTTCTAGTTTCTCCAGCATTTTTAAAGCTGGTTTTTATCAAAGGCTTTTTCTGCTTGAGGGGCGATTGTGTAATTCTTGTCCTTAATTCTGCTATGTGAGGAATTACACTAACTGATTTATGTATGTTGAATCGACTCTGCATCCCTTGGAGGAATCCCACTTGACCATGGTGCCCCACCTTCTTGATATGTTTTGAATGTACTCTGTTAACAGTTTATTAGGTATTTTTTGTGTCTATGTTTAGAGAGAAATGGGTCTATGGTATTCTTTCCTTTTTCTATGTCTGGTTTGTATATAAGAAGGAGATCAGCTTCCCAGAACAAATTTGGGTGGGTTCCCTCCTTCCCTCCCTTTCTATTCCATGGAATGATTTGAGGAAGAAGAACATATTTCTTATGTGTTGTATTTTTGTGTGCACACTTGTGTTTTGTGTTGTATGTCTTTGTGTGCATATGTTCATATATCATATATGAGGAGTGCTCATGAAAAAATGGATCCAAATTTTTTTTTATTCACGTGATTTTAATGGTTTAATTTAAATTGGGTAAACAGCTATTGAGGATTGTTTTAATATGTGAACAAATAAGGACGTTAACAGATCTGCTTGTTTACTTTCACCTTTCCTTTTCATTATATTTAAAAGTTCTCTTCAGGATAATGTAAATTGTTCAGAAAATTGTTTTCTTAGTACCTGTTGGAATGTTACATAATTTTTTATCATCATTGCCAGAATTCCTATCTTCATCCCAGTGCCATTAAAGACAAAGATAAAACCATACTACAGTTTCTTTGATAGTTATCACAACAAACTGTATAAACTGATGCATCAATGAATAATAACTCAACAAGTAATGCTCAATCAAGGAGTCGATTTACTTTGGGAGGAAATGGACATATTGATAGATTCCTCCACTTTGAACTGCTTGCAGAAATTGCCTGGACTATGTATCACTTGTATGCATTATGAACTCTCTGTTGGTGCAGCGAATTGTGGTAATTCTGGAGTATCTTTGCTGATGGTGTCACCGGTGGTACAATTTTTTCAAAGAAGCCATCAATTGGCTGAGTGTGGTGGCATTTCTGTATCCTCCTCCCTTCTGCTAGTGATGGTATAAAATTTGGGGGCCAAGAGAGGTGAGGCAAAGAACCTCACCCCCTGACTGGTACCAAGGCCAAATTTGGGGGCCAACAGAGGTGAGGCATAGAACCTCACCCCCCCACCACTGGTGCAAAGGCCAAATTTGGGAGCCAACAGAGGTGAAGCAATGAACCTCAACCCCCTACTGGAACCAAGGCAAAATTTGGGGGCCAACAGAGGTGAGGCAAAGAACCTCACCCCCCCCCACTAATGCATAGGCCTATCCACAAGTATGGCTGTATGCTGGACCGGTAGTCAGTAATGGGTATGATCCAATAGCAGTGGTACCAACCTAAGACAGGAGGCTGACGCCTAGCGGTCAGCTCATCTGATGACTGGTAAGGGCCATATGTATTATTGGACACCATAACAGGCACAGTCCCTAAGCCACATGTTTGGTGCTTAATTAAACAGAAGGGGGGAGATGCTGAGAGCCATAGCCAAGTAGGAATGATGCATGGCATTTTGGGTCCAAAGGTGATTCCAGCAAGCCATTGAGATGAGGATGATTATGTTAAGATATGCATTCAATTGGAGATTAGGAGGAAATGATTTCCTCCTACCACACTTCCCCAACCAATGGGAACTCTCCAGGAGTCCCCTGAGAGCTCCAAAGTAGCAGGCCAAGGCGAACAGCAGGGGTCTAATCTCCAACTGAATGCACATCTTAACATAATAATTACAGACAGACTTGCAGCAAGAAAACACTTCTCCAGTGGGTGTGTCT